AGGATTAATATCAACACCAACAAGTCTTTTTGAAAAAAAGAAATAATAATAAAATTCAAATTAATTATTATTAAAGATAAATGATTATTATTAATAAAATTAATTAATTATTATTATAACATACTTTCTGCATAGCAGAAAACATTCAATGGCATCAGTCCCTAATATATAAAAACATGAATAATTAGTATATGTAAAATAAAAATAACAAGGTATAAAAAAATTTAATTTATTCAACCTCTTCCAAGGAAATTTGATAAAACCTTATCATTCTTTCTAGTATAACGAAGTATGGCTCTATAATGTATAAATTTTATAAAGTATGAGCAAAAAATTTCAAGGATCAAATTGATTAATAACTATTGGATATTTGCCTTCGAACCGTTTGTGGAAGCCATGTACCATGATAGTCAGTACCACTATGTGTTGCCCCTAAAAAAAAAAAAATTCAAAATATATATATTTTAAAAATCTCTTGAATTAAAAAACAGTAATAAAATAATTAAATTTAAAAATATATTTATTTACATCTTGGTGCACGACCAGGAATGTCAAAATAAGAACTATCAAATGTTAATGAGAACAATTGATTTTCAGCTGGTTCGTAACTATCAAGATACAAAGCATGTGATTCCAAATCATCAAAATTTTTGTCAGAGCAAATAGTTCTAGTGAGATATGGTCTATAAATATAATCCTCACTACTAGTTATATATTGATTTGTTTCCAAATGTTGCATGTCACTTGCATTATTGTTGTTTATAAGAACTGATTCAAAACATTCTTCACACATTAATACTCCATTATAACCTATTTTTATGAAGAATTTTGTTGTTTACTAAAAATTCAATTAATCATCAAAATTAATATATATATTTTTTTTTTACCTTTCCTCCAACGAGGAGATTCTTCTGCCCAACAATATGAGCATTGAATTTTTGATCCTTTACCACGACTTGGAAGTGAACTCTTGGTTTTTTTCTTCATTCCTATAATATAAATATTATTATTATCATCAATATCAAGCTAAAAAAAAAAAAAGGTTAAATTCATATATTATATTGATATTATTATTACCAGCTGCACGAGCTTTTTGATTAGCAACAGCTATCATGGCTTGTTTTGTGATTTGGTCATCCTTTATTTTCTTTACAGCTAAACAAACAAAAATTAAATTAAATTATAAATTCATTAATCAAATCAATTAATTAAATTTAAAAAATTCACTGACATGTTTCTTCATAATCATCTTTTGAATGTTGATGACTTTCTGGAAATCTTTCTGCATAGCACTAATTAATTGGATAATTAATTAAATTAGTTAGTTATTTATATAAAATATATAGAAATAATATCTTGATAACTTTAATTTCTTTCTTTATTTACTTGTTGACATAAATCAAATGAAGTAAAGAATTTAGATTCACATGGTTTACAAGTCCACCATTTGTCTGCTTGTAATTCACATGAACAAACATCACATCTATAAACTTCGTTATAATATTCTATCCATAATGTATTTTTTTGATTAAAAAAAATGTTTAAAAATAAAATACAAAAAAAAGTAAATGTTACAAACCTGTTTGAGCATAACGTGATTCATGTGT